AGACGCACCGACTTCGCAAGCAAATAACAGATCGGCATCGCCGTCCTGGACGATTGTGGCTCACACGCGGGCAAAGTTGGAGAAGTGAGTGCCAGCCTTTTTCCCAGTCATCATATTCTGATCGAATCCGAAGTTGAAGGAGGCGATCGTGAAAGACGCAGGCTGAGAAGCACAGCGACCAGTGGCGACCGCGGGCTCCTGTCGGCTTTCGTTCGCAGGCTGAGAAGCACCACGAGAAGCTGACGCTGAAGATGCCATCGCGAGACTGGCGCCTTTTCACCGCAGAAGAGTACCGTGGCAAAAACTCTGTAAGCCAAAGACAGCTATCAAAAGCAAAAAGGAACATGAGGAGTCCATATGCTATCTTCTGATCCCACTAGAAAGCTATCAGCAAAAGCTGTTCGGTCTACTACTACTACTACTACTACTACTACTACTACTACTACTACTACTACTACTACTACTACTACTACTACTAAACTACTACTACTACTACTACTACTACTACTACTACTACTACTACTACTACTACTACTACTACTACTACTACTACTACTATTACTACTACTACTACTACTACTACTACTACTGCTACTACTACTACTACTACTACTACTACTACTACTACTACTACTACTACTACTACTACTACTACTACTACTACTACTACTACTACTACTACTACTACTACTAGTACTACTACTACTACGACTACTACTACTACTACTACTACTACTACTACTACTACTACTACTACTACTACTACTACTACTCTACGAGTAGAAGGGAGAAGGGAAAGGACGGAGAGGGAGGGCTCGGAGACCCTTGGAGGGGGGGATGTGCCCATCCGAGGGAACGGTGCACCCCCCCCTCCCCGTCGTCAATTCGAGGGAACCAGCCATGGCAACGACCCCCCTCCTATCCCCCTCCGCGACCTGAGTAGACCACCCAGGCCAGCGGAGGACGTCATAGGAGGCAAGGGTTCTGACGTCGATGAGAGAAGAAAAAGGAGGAGCGAGCAGAAGGAGGAGGAGAGGCGTACGAGTACTACTACGACTACAATGGCGTGTTCTCCACAATGCGTCCCGGGAATGGAATTCTGGGAGGTGGAAGAGCAGGAAGTGGCGTGCAGTTGGCTCCGGGCATCCAACATGGGCGCCAGGAGTGGCAGGAGTGGCATTCGGCGATGGCGTTCGGGGCAGTCGAAGAGCACGAAGTGGCCTACAGTTGGCTCGGGGCATTCAGAATGTGGCCCGGGAATGGTGTTCTGGGAAATCGAAGAGCACGAAGTGGCCTACAGTTGGCTCTGGGCATTCAGAATGTGGCCCGGGAGTGGCGTTCTGGGAAGTCGAAGAGCACGAAGTGGCCTACAGCTGGTTCCGGGCATTCAAAATGTGGCCCGGGAGTGGTGTTCTGGGAACTCGAAGAGCACGAAGTGTGTGACTGTTGCGTCCGGTTATTCAAAATGTGGCCCGGGAATGGAGTTCTGGGAGGTCGGAGAGCACGAAGTGTGTGACTGTTGGCGAAAAACGAGCCCGGTTCGTCCGCCCGGCGTCCGCCCGGCAGCTCGCCGACATCCGCCCAGACCTCCCCGGTGGAGTAAGCTGCTGCCCTCTTTTGATCCTATTAGAAACCTATCAGTCTACGCTGTTAGGTAAATATACACACAAATACAGATATATACAAAACGAATACGTGACGTATCATTGGCCCCAGGAGGTTCCAGGACACATCAGACAGCCCCAAGATGCCTCAGGAGTGGTCGGTACCACTTGAGGCATGCAGATGGCATGCCTCATGTGGTACTTGGTCGCTACCACGTGAGGCATCCGAGAGACCTACCACGAGATCCCAACGAACACTCCAGAGGCCTCTGACTCCCAACCCAGGCACGGTGACGGGATGGGCCGAAGGCCATTAGCTTATACATATATATATATATATATATATATGTAGACATGAACATATGTATACATATACATATACATTTACATACATATATATATATATATATATATATATATATTGACACAACGAATATGCTATGTATCATTAGCTCCAGGAGGTTCCAGGACACATCAGACAGCCGCAAGAAGCCTCAGGAAACACCAGGAGACCCTAGGAAACGCCACGAGACCAAATGAGGCCACGATGCCCCAGGAGCCCACCAGAGCGCCCGCAACAAAAGTAACATTGTTGCGGATGTTGTGAACCTGTGAACTAAGTGTCCAAGAATCCAGGATTCACCAGCAAAGCCAAGGCGGCCGAGTTTTGCGCAGACGTCGCTTTTTTAACGGAAAAATAACGTCTGCTCCCCAAGGAAGCCCTCAAGAGGCCTCCAGAACCACCAAAAACTTCGGCCACGCACCGAAACACTTTTTACCAAAAAGTGTGCCCTTGCGCGTTTTAGCCGCCGCGGGGGGTTGAAAAACCCTGGGCCCTAGATTCCCAGATCTCCAGAACTCCTGAAATCCTGATGCATACTTTGACTTTACCCTTAGACCTCCTGGCGCCTCCTGAAATCTCCTGCGGCCTTCGGTGGCCTCTTGACGCCTCCTGGCCTCCTGGTCGCAGCCCAGGCGTACAGGAATCCCGAAATCCGCAGAGGGGGATGACGATGAGGAGGACGATCGATGAGAAGAAGAGGAGGACGACGACAACGATGACGAGGAGGAGGACGACGACAACGAGGACGAGGACGAGGACGACGACAACGAGGACGACTACTTCTCACTGGCCCACTATATCCATTTCTCTATGTGGCCGTGCTGCCACTCGCGCAACGGCCCACTCTGATCAGCGGCCCAATCCGACGACGACGACGACGACGACGACGACGACGACGACGACGACGACGACGACGACTGCGACTGCGACTGCGACTGCGACTACGACGACGACGACGACCGCGACGACGAAGACCGCGAGGACGGCGACGACGACGACGACGACGACGACGACGACGACGACGACGACGACGACGACGACGACGACGACGGCGGCGGCGGCGGCGGCGGCGGCGGCGGTGGCGACGACGACGAGGACGAGCCGCCACTGGGGTGCGCGCGCGCCGCGACTCGAACGCCTGAGGCTCCGGCGCGTTTGCCGCGGCCAGCCGTCTGAGTGCCCGCGCCGCCGCCCCCTCCCCCCACTCTCGGCCGACACCGGCCAAGTTAAAACTTTTAAAACATTTGAAGACCCCAGGGCCCTGGATTCCCAAATCTACAGGATCCTCCGGTATCCTGGAAATCTGGATTTCCCAAAGTTTCAAAACTTCTAGAAGTTTTAGAAGGTTCAAAAGTTTTGAACCCCCTGAAACTTTCAAAAGTTTTAAAACTTTCAAAACTTTTGAACCCACAGGGCCCTGGATTTCCAAATCTTCAGGATCCCCAGAAATTCGGGAAATCTGGATTTCCAAAAATTGCAAAAGTTTTAAAAGTTTTAGAAGTTTTGAGCCCCCTAAAACTTTTAAGAGTTTTGAAACTTTTCAGAATATGAACCCACAGGGCCCTGGATTCCCAAATCTTCAGGGTTCCCTGGTATCCTGGAAATCTGGGTTTCCAAAAGTTTCACAATTTTTAAATTCTTAAAGGTTTCAAAATTTCTACCCCCCCTGAAACTTTTAAAGTTTTTTGTTCAAACGAAAAACTTTTGAACCCACAGGGCCCAGGATTCCCAAATCTCCAGGATCCCCAGAAATTCGGGAGATCTGCATTTCCCAAAGTTTCAAAACTTTCGAAAGTTTTAAAAGTTTGAAAAGTTCTGACCCCCTGAAACTGCTAAAAGTTTTAAAGCTTTTAATACTTTTGAACCCACAGGGCCCTGGATTCCCAAAACTTCAGGATCCCCAGACATTCGGGAAATCTACATTTCCCAAAGTTTCAAAACTTTCTTAAAGTTTTAAGAGTTTTGAACTACCCATAACGTTTAAAGAAAACTAAAAAACTTTTGAACCCCCAGGATCCCTGGATTCCAAATCTCCAGCATCATCCGAAATCCTGAGCCCCTTGAAATTTCTTCCTAGACCCCCTCTGGATATCTGGGGGCCTCCTGGGATCTCGTGGGGTCTCCACGGTGCCTCCTGAGATCTCTGGGGGCCTCCTGGTATTTCCCGTGGTCTCCGCGATTCCACTGATCTCCTCGGGTCCAGGGTGGCTCCGCAGGATGGAGGACGAGGAAGAGGAGGAGGAGGAGGAGGAGGAGGAGGAGGAGGAGGAGGAGGAGGAGGAGGAGGAGGAGGAGCGGGAGGAGGAGGAGCGGAGGAAGGAGGAGGAGGAGGAGGAGGAGGAGGAGAGGAGGAGGAGGAGGAGGAGGAGGAGGAAAAGGAGGGAGGAGTGCAATTAAAGCCCCCAAGATGGTATCCCCTCATGGTCGCCCATTCACTCCCCTCCCTCCTCCTTCTCCTCATCGTCCTCATCGCCATCTCGTCGTCCTCCTGCCAGTGAGGCATATGTCTTCTCCTCGTCGCCCTCGTCTTCGTCTCGCTGCGCAGTAGAGAGGACAGCGGGGGCCGCAGCTCTGCGCGCAACGCACATGGCTGCCACGGCCACGGCGAGGGCGAAGACGAGGACGAACACCGACGACGAGCATGACGAGGGCGCCGAGGACGACGTCGACGTCGATGGCGACGGCGACGACGGGGACGACGAGAGCGAGGACGGGGACGAGGACGAGGAGGAAGACGACGACGGCGAGGACGACGGCGAGGACGAGGACGAGGACGAGGACGAGGACGAGGACGAGGACGACAACGAGGACGAGGACGAGGACGACGAGAGAGAGGACGGGGACGAGGACGAGGAGGAAGACGACGACGGCGAGGACGACGGCGAGGACGAGGACGAGGACGACGACGACGACGACGACGACGACGACGACCACGACGACAACGGCGACGACGACGACGACGACGACGACGACGACAACGAGGTCGATCCCCGTCCTCGTACTGCTGCCGCTCGCTACCCTCGTGCCCCCACCGAAGAGCGCTCTTCGGGCAGGCGTGCCGGCGAAGCACCTGCGGTCCCGGTTCCCGGAGTTTGCCCGCGTGCAGGTCTTCGGGGCCATCCGAGTAGATGGTGGGGACCACGGGGCCTAGAGATCCGAGGCTCCGAACAACTTGGAGCGACCGGTTTTTGGTGACCACTCTCGGCCCCCCTGGGCCCTCAACGCGCCCCGGGGCAGTGACAACGATTCGGGACGAAAGCCCGGTCCCGGGGAAGGCGTGTGGACCCCCGGGAACCCACGCATCGAGCACAATGGAGCGCCGGATGTTTGGTCGTGTGTGTGTGGGGATATCGGCTATACGCAAGAGTGACTTTTCGCCAGAGTGACCTTTGGTGCAGGCGCACTGGGGCCCCCAGATGGCCCAATTGAGCGCGATGCGACAACAGCGGCCGGCGCGCTCGGGTTTGGCCTCCTCGTGCCCCCCGGTCCGCGCACCAAAAGTCACCCCTTGCCTGGGGTCACTCCTGCGTGCAGCCTGGGACAGCATGGACAGGGCCATGACATCTCCCAGACTTCGTGGCGTCCCCTCTTCTTCCCATGCGCTGCCTGGACCTTCCCCGTCCGCGCACGCGCTTCGGGCCATGATGCGTGTCGCCCCTCCCTGTTGCCGGCACCACCTCCTGGGCGCCACCCGAGGTCTACAGGGGTCCCTGCCTGGGTTGGGAAGACGCGGTCGTGGTCCGGCAGAAGCAGGACGAGGACCCAGCGCGCACTCTCTCTTTTATTTTGCGACCACTTGCGAAGCCTACCTACCCTACCCCTGCGAGTCCAGTCGACGCCGGGGTATCGGACACCCCTGCCGGGGTTCGCGTGGCTGCAGGCATTCGTCGAATTCTGAACTCCAGCCGTTTTTTTTCTGAAGTCTGACCTGCAGGCGCGCTGAAGAAGGAACCCTTCTCGTTGGGGAGGGGCTCCGTGTTTCTTATTCGTTCCGCAGCTTGCCTTGGGCCTTCCTTAGGTTCCCGATGCGAAATCGAAGCTCAACGTATGGAACACAGGGGCCTCGCTCCTTGCTCAGGGTCCCTTAGGTCAACGCCCCGACTGCAGGGTTCACGTGTGCTCGCTTGTTCACGGCCCTGAGCGATCGCTGCGGGACGCTCGCCCCCCAGCCCCTCCTCCCCTCCTCCTCCTCCTCCTCCTCCTCCTCCTCCTCCTCCTCCTCCTCCTCCTCCTCCTCCTCCTCCTCCTCCTCCTAATGCGGGATGACGATTCATAAACAGAATGGGAGAGAACGATTAAAAACATAGTTTTCGGTGATTTCTACATCATTTTCGGACTGGGGGAGAACGATTCACAGGAATAGCTTTCCGGCCCGCGGCCGGCTTTTCTGATCGTCATCCCGGGCGCCGCCGCGTGATCACGACCCCCGGCCATTTACCAATCATCATCTTCCATTACTCGGAAGGCTCTTCTAGAGCGCCTCGCGCAGATCTCTCTCGACTCGTCCCCCCCCAGGGCCGGAGCTTCGCCTCCAGTCCCCATGCCGCTCCTCGTGCTGGCGGTCGTCCTGTGGTAGCCCCCGTTGGTCCGTGCCACTCCTCCGCCCCCCGCCCCCTCCTCGCCACCCGTCCTCCCCGGCTCCGCCCTCCACAGCCTGGCGCAGGGCTGGAGGTTTTGAGGGTGCTCCTGGCACCGCAATGGGCTCTCTCTCTCTCTCTCTCGCCTGCCTCCCCCCAATTCGTCCTCCTCTCTCCGCCCTCCACCCTCCGCCCGCCCTTTCCCCGCGCCTCCCTCCATCACCGGCGCGCCTCTTGGGGCGCTCCTGGGCCCATCCTGGGAGCTCCTGGGGCCCATTTTGGGGGGGGGGGGGGCTCCTGCGCCCCTCTTGGGGCTCTCCTGGGCAGCCCCGGGGCCATTCCGAGGCCTCAGAAGCCCATCGGAAGCCAAACGGCGAGACGGCACAACTCATTGTTTTCCGTTGGTGTTTGAGAAGTATTTCGGCCTCTTGGGGGGGTCCAGGGGGGGGGGCTCCGCGAGCAGTTGGAACCGTCTTGTGGCCCTCGTCCCTCGTCGGGCCTCTCGGAGGTTTGTCGGAAGCTATAGTGACCCATCCTCGGCTATTTTGAGCAATCCTGGAGGCCATCTTGGATCATCGGAAGCCTTCTTGGAGCCATCTTGGGCGAAAAAAAACCCTCTGAGACCTCCCCCCCCCAGAACAAAAACACCTCAGGGCGGGGAGGTAGCGCCCCTCCCCGAAGGGAAGAGGGTCTTGCAAGAGGAAGGACAGAACTCGTGAGGCCACCTACGCCCAACGGGCTGGTGGGAGTGTGCGACGCTTACACGGCTGGGGCGCATATCCTTTCAATACGAGGCTATGCTTGTTCGGCGAAAAAAGCGAGGCTATGCTTGGACATGCCCCTTAATTTTATCACCCTGCCTATGTGCGGTTCTGTGCGGTTCTGAGCCCTTAGCACGCTTGAGTGCCGCCTGGGTGGCGGGCTTGCTGGGCGCTTGTCGTCTCAAGGGCAGCGATACCGGCAGTAGAAACCATGACCTGCATGGTGTTGCTAGATGTTCGGGGGCCCCCAAAAGGGGTGGTGACCAGACCGTGTGGTGAGTCGGTGGGGATTCGGGGTCACCGCACGGTTTTGGGACTCGAGTCCCCCTCCGAGGATGTCTCGGGCGACGGGGGCCTCCCGGGTCCCAAGTCCGTGCGGCGACGGACCGTGCGGTGAGGCCTCTCGGGGCTCCGAGGTCACCCCACGGTCTGTCACCACACGGTTTGGGGATCCCCGAGAAGTGCCCTTGGCCCAAGTTGCCCCCAGGATTGCCAAGGAGGCCCCCACCGCCTCCGAGCGCACCCCTTGCGAGGCCCAGGGGGGCCCGAGGGGCTCCGACATGGAGCGACAAAAGTCAGGAGGGAAAAAACACACAGACACAATTAATCGTCGATTCCCCAGAAAGTATGGGAAAATATGGGAAGTGGGGGGGAAGACAAAAACCCAGAAACTATGGGAAAATATGGGGGACACCTTTAATTTGTGTGTATCTATTTGTGTGTCCCAGGGCCCCTTCAAAAAGCCAGGGGGGCACCTCGGGCCAGGGGCGCCCGTGGCCCCCCCCCCTGGGTCTACTACTGGGGAGGGTGGTTCTGGGACGGGAGGGCGTGCCGCAGCAGCGTCGACGCGCCCCGGGTTTGCCCTCGCCCTCGTCCTCGGCCTCTCTCCCCCCCTCGCCCTTCTTCCTCCTCCTCCGAAGCCCACTTCCCTTTTGGGGAGGGGTGCACTCCCCCATCCCCTCCCGGAGGTTGCTCCCGGAGGTGGCCCCCCTCCCCTTCCCAACTCCTCCCCCTCCCAAATCCTCCTCCTCCTCCTCCTCCTCCTCCTCCTCCTCCTCCTCCTCCTCCTCCTCCTCCTCCCCCTCCTCCACGACCGGCGGCAGAGCTCCCCACGCGCGCGGGCGCCCCTGTTCCCGGGCCGGCGCCCGCCTTTTCTCCCCCTGCCGAGAGCCCGCGGCCGCCCGAGGACGGGCCCGCGCGCCAGCCGCACGAGGAGGAGCCGACAGACAGCGACGAGCTCAGGAAACTTCGATCTGCCGATCAGGGCTCGATCGAGGAGCGTCGTCGTCGAGGTGCTTCGTCCAGGGCGTCGTGGCGTCGTCGTCGACGCGCGGGTCTGCCGTCGAGGCCGTCGTCGTCGTCGCCGAGGCACATCGCCGTCGAGGTCGTCGTCGTCGTCGTCGTCGATCTGGCGGGCAGAGCTCGGATCGTGGACGCGGGCAAGCGGATTGCCACCGCCGTCCCCCAGGGGCCCTCTGTCCTGGGTGCGATGGCTCTCTCCTCCCTTCCCCACTCTCCTCTTTCTCTATCACTGACTCTCTCGCTCAATCTCTCTCTCTCTCTCTCTTTCTCTCCTCTATCTCTCTCTCCCTCACTCCTCTCTTTCTCTCTCTCTCTCTCTCTTTGTTGGCTCTCTCACTCTCTCCTCTTTCACTCACGCCTCTCTCTCCATGACTCTCTCTCTCTCTCTCACTCTCTCCTCTTTCGCTCTCTCTGGCTCTCTTTCTCTCTCTTTCTCTCGCTCTCTCCTCTCTCTCTCTCTCTCCCACTCTTCTCCTCTCTCTCTCTGCCTCTCTCTGTGTCCCCCTGTGAATATCGATATTTCGATATATAGACATATATATATATATGTACATATCCCGTTGCACCTATGTGTATACATTCTATTTCCGCTGACACTGAAGGGGGACGACGCCGACGACGACCACGACCATGACGACGACGACCACGACCACGACCACGACCACGACCACGACCACGACGACGGTGACCACGACGAGGAGGAGGAGGAGGAGGAGGAGGAGGAGGAGGAGGCGGAGGAGGAGGAGGCGGAGGAGGAGGAGGAGGAGGAAGAGGATGAGGAAGGAGAAGAGGAGGAGGAGGAGGAGGAGGAGGAGGGGGAGGGGGAGGAGGAGGAGGAAGAGGAGAGGGAAAGGAGGAGGAGGAGGATGAGGGAGAAAGAGAGGAGGAGGAGGGAGGAGAGGAGGAGCAGCAGCAGCAGCAGGAGGATGAGGTAGAGGAGTATCAGGGATCAGGATGTGCATCAGAAGGGGCATCAGGAGGAGGGTTAGACTGACTAGCAGGACCTCAAGATGGCTGAGACGGAACTGCCCAGGCTACCCGCCGATTGTCTGCTCGTTGTGGAGGCTCCCAGGCTTCAGGAGGTCTCTGGAGGCTTCTGGGGGCTTTGGAGACCTCTAGAGACTTCCAGAGAAACCTCCAGAGACTTCTAGAGTGCTTCGGAAACCTCACTGGCACATCGGAGGATGTAGCACTGGCAGTAGTATTATGATAAGGAGCTGGAGCCTTAGACCAGCTCAGATCAGGACAGGCATTCGCCACATCATCAACTCAGATCCGATGGGACGCCTTCCAAGGCGAACTGGAGTCGGATAGCGACGGGAGCGCGCGGCATGAACGCACAGAGACAGAACCGATGCCGACAGGATCTCTGAGGAGGCAAAGGTGCAGATGCCAGTACGGCGCCCCCCGCTCATCACGTTTTCCCACCGGCGGTCCAAAAAGGCGCCGCACGGCGCCCCTCGCACGCGGTGTTTGCTTCCATGCAGGAGGCCCGAGAGGGGCGCCGTACGGCGCCCCTTGCGCCCTGCGTTGGCCCATGCGGGCGGCCCAGGGGAGCGCCGCACCCCTCCGCCCCCTCCCCCGGGCTCGCCCGGTTGGGCCTGGGGAGCTCCCGCCGCCATGGCTGGATTCGCCTCGGACGCGGAGGACTGGGGAATGGCGGTGCCCGTGCCGTTTCGCAAGAGGACCTCGGAGACGCCCACATGGCACAAACAGGACCACTAGAAGTCCCGCGTGGATTCCTTGCGTCGGCGCCCTGACCCCCTCCCAACACTTCAGTCGGGCGCGCCCATCGACGGGAGGGATCTTCGAGAATAGTAGAAATATTAGGGGGACGATTTTTCGAATATTTTCTGCAATTTTGGTCATTTGTTGAATCTGCTTTATTGTGTTTTTGAAAATCGGCCTGTAGAGGGACGTGCCCGACCCATCCCAACATCCGAGGGGGTCGTTTCCGGCGCAGCCCCCCAGCGCGCCAGTGGGCATGTGATTGGAGGGGTGTCCAGCGCCACTCGGGCAGTGCCAAAGGAGGTCACCACCAGTGGGGTCGCCAACCGAACACCTTCGGGCGGGGCTAGGGCGAGGTTACATCCCTTCCAGAGCCTTCCGAAACGCTCTCGGAGCGTTCCGGAACGCTCTGAGAAGGCCGCGGCGCCCCATGCGTTCGGAACGCTCCGAGAAGCCGCGGGATCTCAGAGATTCTCGCTTCATCCTCGCCCGACTTCCTCCTCGTCCTGGCTTCGCCTTGCACCCACTGGGCGTCGAGGATCGGGGTGGAGGGGGGGCCGAGGACCGAGGAGGTCCTGCACCTCTCTGGGCCTGGCCTTAAGTCGGGCCGGTCCCCCTACAGAGGGATTTTCGACGAAAAATAAAAAGATACCCCAAGCATAATCAAAAAATAGTCCAAAAATAGTCTGGGGACTACGTTTGAGTAGTTTTTGGCCTTTTGGGCGTATTTTTTGGGTATTCGTGATTTTTCGTCCAAAATCCCCCTGTAGGAGTGCGGGACGGGGAAATGACCACAGCCACTGCATCTTGTTTGCGCCGCCTTCCAGCCGGCCGAAAAAGAAGCAGTGGATGTGGTCAGTTCCCTGGTGCCAAGCTTCACGAAAATTGCCACAACCACTGCTTTGTTTCTGCTGGCTGGGAGGCGGCAACAAAAGAAAAACAGTGGCTGTGGTCGCTTTCGCGTCCCGTAAGGAGGACAGGCCCGACGTAAGCCTGGCCGTGGGAGTTCCGAGGGGGCTCCGACGGGTGACCCGCGGCAGCCGCGCGCGGTCCTGCGACGCAGCTCCTGTGAGCCCTCCTCCATTTTTCCTCCTTTTTTCCTCCTTTTTCCTTCTCCTCCTCCTCCTCCTCCTCCTCCTCCTCCTCCTCCTCCTCCTCCCCTCCTCCTCCTCCTCCTCCTCCTCCTCCTCCTCCTCCTCCCCTCCTCCTCCTCCCCCCCCTCCCCCCCCTCCCTCCTCCTCCTCCTCCTCCTCCTCCTCCTCCTCCTCCTCCTCCTCCTCCTCCTCCTCCTCCCTCCGCCTGCTCCTCCTGCCCTCCTCCTCCCCCTCCCCTCCCTCCTCCCCCTCCCCTCCCCCTCCCCCTCCACAATTACTCAATATGAAAATACTCTCCCTCTTCCCCTGATGGCGTCCAGGTGATGGCAGCGCACCCTCCGCGTACTGTTTTTCTACACACAGGATTCCCGGGAAATCCCGGGAAACGACTCTCGCTGAGGCGCCGGCGTCATTTTTTCCCACAATGCTGCTCTCGTTGAGGCGCTGGCCTCATTTCTGCTCCCGAATCGTTCCGAATCGTGCTCCCGCTGCAGCGTGGGCCTCATTTTCGGATCGGTGTTTGGCCTCCGTCGTTCAGGATGGCGTTCTCGCCCCAGCGCGGGCCTTTTTCTTCTCGCGCGCCCATCCGCCCGCCACCACCGCGCCGCACCGCCACCACCACCACCACCACCACCACCACCACCACCACCACCACCACCACCACCACAACCACACACCAGCACCACCACCAGACCAGTACCAACACCACCACCACCAGCACCACCACCACCACCACCACCACCACCACCACCATCACCACCACCACCACCACCACCACCACCACCACCACCACCACCACCACCACCACCACCACCACCACGACACCACCGACCACCACCACCACCACCACCACCACCACCACCACCACCACCACCACCACCACCACCACGACAACCACGCACACACGCACGCACGCACGCACGTGCACCACCACCCACTACGCACGCGCGCGCGGAGCCACAGGTCCGCTACGACACGCGTCCGCGGATAGAGAAAATCAGCGCCATGGTAAGGGATGGGAGGGAGGGGTAGGACGTCAGATATGACGCGAGCGCACCTAGCTTGCCCCTCCCCCTCCCCTCCCCCTCCCCTCCCCCCCTCCCTCCTCCTCCTCCTCCTCCTCCTCCTCCTCCTTCTCCTCCTCCTCCTCCTCCTCCTCCTTGTCCTCCTTCTCCTCCTCTTCCTCCTCCTGCTCCTCCTCCTCCTCCTCCTCCTCCTCCGTGCGCGGCCCTCCGACACAGCTCCTGCTCTGACGTTCTGGTTGTGTTCGGTGATCCCGCGGCGTTCGTTACAGGGGGGTCGCTTCTCCCTTACCCCCCCTCCGTACAGTCGGACCGAGGTGTGAGACTGAGGTCGGCTCGGGGAGGGTGCCACCATGTGCGTCGTGCCTGCAGGATGCTCTTCTGCATCCTGGGGGAGGGTGCCCTCGAGCGCCCCTCCTTCTGGTCGGCGGAGGGTCTCGGTCTCGTGTTCTTGAGGGGTTGATTCTGTCCCAGGTCCGACTGTAACTGTCCCGAACGAACACGGGGGGGGGAGGGTGGGTCCGGTCCCCCCACAGGCATGACGCGGTGTTCACAGGCGTGAGAGGCATGTTGTGGTCCTCTGTGTTGTGGCGCTCACAGGCCTGACCCCCCTCCTCCCTCCCGTAATGGACGTGTTGGTTTTGGAATCAAGCCGCAATCTGTTAGCTCAATTGCTTGCACCTGCACAGGAGCGGACCGGGGCTCCATGACGGCGGGCAACCCGCCCGCGGACCTCGGGGCCAAGTCGAGATCTGCCCCCCCGCCCTTCTCTGGCCCTCCGCTCTGGCAGGAAGCTGGACACGCGTGATTTGGCTTGGCCTGGGCGAAAGCGGCAGACGCGTGTGGTCGGACGTCCTTCCAGCCTCGGCCCCTCCACGGACAACGGAAGACTCGGCCAGGCGAAACTCGGCCGAGGAGGAGAAGGAGGAGGAGGAGGAGGAGGAGGAGGAGGAGGAGGAGGAGGAGGAGGAGGAGGAGGAGGAAGGGAGGAGGAGGAGGAGGAGGAGGAGGAGGAGGAGGAGGTGGAGGAGGAGGAGGAGGAGGAGGAGGAGAGGTAGGAGGAAGGGGTGGAGAGGAGGGAGGGGGAGGAGGAGGAAGGAGGAGGAGGAGGAGGAGAGGTAGGAGGAGGAGGGAGGAGGAGGGAGGGAGGAGAGGAGGAGGAGGAGGAGGAGGAAGGAGGAGGAGGGAGGGGAGGAGGAGGAGGAGGAGGAGGAGGAGGAGGAGGAGGCGCAACTCGGCCGGGCGAAACTAGGCCAAAACTTACGCGAGTTTTGCTGCTGCCCTGCGGCCGGGCACGCCAGGCTTTGCGCGCGTGCCCAGCGCGCGGCCCCTGGATGTCCCACGTGTGGGCCCAGCCGCGTGTGCGTCCAGCTTCCTGGCGCCGCCCTCCCCTGGCATCGCTCGGACGTGTGCATGTTTCCTTCGGCGAGGGCCATCGAGGAGCAATCTTGATCATTCGGCGAAAAAACTACGCACGAAACCGACAAAAAACACAGGAAATGGGCGTCCGAGCGATGGCCAGACGTGCGGGCCCAGCCACGTGTGCGTCCAGCTTCCTGGCGCCGCCCTCCAGCCTCCCCGCTCTCGCTTCGACGCAGCATCGTCGAACCCATCCCCATCCCGACCGGGCCATGGCACCTCGGCCGCCCCAGCCCCACCAGCCCAGATGGAGTCGGCCAGTGTGGCAGAGGCCATGCCAGTGGGGACTGGGACCGGGCAAGCGGTGCTGATCGATGCGAGGCGGGGAGGTATCCATATCCAGGGCCACGGAACCGACGTCCTGGGACCAAGCGGGCGGTGGATATGGAGATGTTTCGGCCTCTGGGGGCCTGAATACATCCATATCCACCGCCTGCAGATGTCTGCGAAAATCGATCCTCCGGGCGGTGGTCATGTGTAAATCCCCGCGTCGAAATCGGCCCGCTCAGCAAGCGGGCAGGGCCCCCCCCGCCTCGAACACCCCGCGCCCCCGCGAGGGCGCCAGCTCGGACTCCGACTCGGACTCCGATTCCGATGACGCCGAGGCTGCCGAGGGCGCCGAGGATTCCGATGACGCTGAGGGTGCCGAGGGCGGCGAAGGCGCTGAGGCTGCAGAGGGCGCGGCGGCCGGCCCCGAGGCTCCCAGCACACCCATTAGCTCCGCGGTGGCCGATTCCCCGCGGGACCACACGGCGCCTGGCGGCTCGCGCGAGACCGCCTTGTCGCCGCCGCGGTCGCCGAGGGGAGTGGTCGTGCGCACGGAGAAGCGCAAGCAGTCACAAGGGGGGGAGATCTGGAAGTCGAAGAACGCGGACCTCCACGACATCGACCGGTTCATGGATCCGGACCTGCTCGCGCGCGGCACTGCGCGAGGCTGAGGAGGAGGGAGGCGGAGGGAGGAGGGAGGAGGAGGAGAGGGAGGAGAAGGAGATGGTGCTCCCTGGTGGCCCGAGGGGGCGGCGTGCGCATCCTCGGGTGTGGACGCTTGTAGTGGGCCTGCCCGGGCAGGAGAACTCCTCCCGCGACGGGCAAACCCCACACCGACCGCTGTGCCTCCAGGCGGGCAGATCCAAGTCCCCCCCCCAGGCATGGAGGGTGCAAGCGCCGTCATGAGTGGGCCAGCAGAGGGTGCGTAGCTCCACTGGCAGGGGGCTTCACCCTGCGCCTCAAGCCCCGCCATCAGACGAGCGCGCGCGAAACGCCACTGCGCAGGAGGAGGAGGAAGAGGAGGAGGAGGAGAAGGAGGAGGGCAGGAACAGGAGGAGTAGGAGGAGGAGCAGGAACAGGAACAGGAACAGGAACAGGAACAGGAACAGGAGGAGGAGGAGGAGGAGGAGGAGGAGGAGGAGGGGGAGGAGGGGGGCGGGGAGGAGGAGGAAGAGGAGGAAGAGGAGGAAGAGGAGGAAGAGGAGGAAGAGGAGGAGGAGGAGGAGGAGGAGGAGGAGGAGGAGGAGGAGCAGGAGGACCAGTGTAACCCTCAGGCGCATCAACAATGTTGCAACAAACCCTCCCTCGAAGTTCCCTTATCACAGGTCCCTACAACAAGTTATCTCCATTGCGGGAAGGGCACCAATGAAACACATTCGTTTGACAATCCACAATCGTCCCAACTCCAATTCATGGAATTTCAATACAGCGAATCAACCAGACCTCTGCGTTCGGACAATCCTCAATCGCGCCAGAACGCTGTCCCTGGGACTCCACCCCCGTGAACCAACGTTACTGTTGCCTCCTTATAATCTTGAATCGAATAGTTGCCCTGGGACTTCAACAATGCGACTCCCTGAAGCGGTTGCAAGCTTTTGCAGAGCACGTGCGTGGCGCTAAGGCGAGAGCCACACTTTGCAAAGGGGTGGCCCTCCATCTTGAAACTGCCGCAAGCCTTTCAGACGAATGTGCGCGTCGCGACGGCGAGAGCCACAACGTGGACGCCACCGGTCATCCATGCCTGAAGCTGTTGCAGTGTTCTGAGGCGGATGTGCGCGGCGCTGCGGCGAGACCCCTTTTTGAAAGCGGCCGGCTGTCCGTCCGTGAAGCCGCTGCAGGCTGCAAGTGTCAGGGTTATCAGGAGGTGGGGCAGTTTTGAGGCGAAACGTCCGGGCCGCCTTGCGGGCAAGTCGAGGGGTGCGACGGGGAGGAGTGTTTTTTTCGCAGGGGCTTGAAGAGCAGCAGGGGGAGGAGTTGGAGGCGGAAGATGATGAGGATGAGGTGCAGGAGGAGGAAGGGGGAGGGGGAGGGATCGGGGAGGCAAGGTGCTCCTTCTGCCGCATCCCCCTGAGCGGGGGCTGGGTGGGGAGCACGGGCATCGGGCGAGCACGGGGAGGGCAGGACGCGTAGGAGAAGGAGGAGGAGGAGGAGGAGGAGGAGGAGGAGGAGGAGAGGAGGAGGAGGAGGGGAGGAGGAGGAGGAGGGTAGGAGGAGGAGTGGAGGAGGAGGAGGAGGAGGTGGAGCTGCAGGGGTCTCAGCAGCAGGGGCCGACTTAAGAAAGAGGGTCCCGCTCGTGCCATAGACACCCCCTCCCTCGTGACTTCCCCCAGGCCTTCAATCATGCAGAGCATGCCGCGCTGTCCCTGGCGTTCCTCAGTGCCGAAGATCCAAGTGGCAACTTGTGCCATCGCGACTGTAGCTCTCCAAGCGTGCACCGAGCCCTGACATCCGACGTTGCCCCCAAAAATGCAACATCGCAGAACGTCACGCCCTGACCCCCGGACCTTTTCTTGTTGCGTTTGTTTTCGAGCCAGATCGATCTGCGAGTGCCCCAGGGCCCGACATCGAGCGACAACGCCCGTTGTTTTGAAAAATTGCACCCCCAGAGACCCAGAGATCCGATGTCGTGTTTTTTTCAATACGGGGTCCCAGGAAGTCTCGACCGATTCCCCAGGACCGGTTTCTCATCCTGAATCGTCTTTGGACGCTCGTCTCGTGGGCAGAGAAGGCAATTTCGGGATCCAATCCCAATGAGGAGCTCTTGAGGAGTTCGGCCGACCAGTGCTCTGCGAAGTCAAATTTCTAGGGGCGAGAGTTTTGTCGGAGACGGGGTCAACTTAGCATTCAATCCGATCACATTGCTGGACTAGGCTCGAGGGGTCAGGCCTAGCAGCGAACGCGGTCGACCTCTACTTTCATGTTGTCTCAGAGCATGAGAATCTCGTGGTTTGAGTATGTGCCATCTTGCATGAGTGGCTGAAGCTGTAACTCTTGCAAGGCCTCCCGTCCCGCGGACCCAGGAAGCACCCGCCTCCCTTCCTCGGGCGGATCTTTGTTCATATGCATTTGTGCGAGAGTGCTTGTCGAAGAGTACGTATCACCCCGCAATTGCGGATGCGAGTCAGGGGGCGGCGGGGGCTTTGGCAGTCTGCGAGGCTCTGAGGCAGCCCGCCGCAGACGCGGAATCTTCAACAATTCTACAAAGAGCCCGCCGCAGGCGCAATTTTTTTCGTCGAAGCAGTGTGGGTGGGTCGCGTGCGGGTCGCGGGTGGGTCGCGGGCGGGCGGCGGGGACGTCGGCAGTGTGCGAGAATCTGAAGAAACCCGCCGCAGGCGCTTAATTTTCACAGATTGTACAGCGAGCCCGCCGCATGCGCTGACTTTTTCGTGAAAGCAATGTGGGTCGGTCGAGAGGGGGTCGAGGGTGGGTCGCGTGTGGGGCGCGGTTGGGTCGCGGGTGGGACGCGGGCTGGGTCGCGGGTGGGTCGCGGGTGGGCCGCGGGCGGGTCGCGGGTTTGGTCGCGGGTGGGTCGCGGGTGGGTCGTGGGTGGGTCGCGGGTGGGTCGCGGGTGGGGTTGCGGGTGGGTCGCGGGTGGGCCGCGCGCGGGTCGCGGGTGGGTCGCGTGTGGTTCGCGTTTGGGTCGCGGGTGGGCCGCGGGCTGGGTCGCAGGGGGGACGAACCAACAACGCAACATAACGCAACGCAGCGCAACGACATTTATATTATTAACAACAACAGCAGCAGCACCAACAACAAACACGACAACAACAACATCAACACCAACACCACCACCAACAACAAACACCACACCGACATCAACAACAACACCAACACCAACAACAACGCACCACCAACAACAAACACAAACACGCCATCACCAACGACAGCACCAACAACAACAACAATAACAACAACCGCATCACCACCAACAGCACCACCACCACCAACAACATCAACCGCAACATCACCAACAGCAGCGACAACAACAACAACAGCAGCAACAACAACAGCAACAACAACATCAACAACAACCACAAACATAATCTGCGCCGCGGCGCCCCAGTTCATCCACGCATCCAAGGACAGTCAATGACCGTTCGGCCTGTTGACTCGGACCTTTCCATACTCAGCCGTGGCCCCAAGCCTCGCCGAAGCTTGTGCTCCCAGGAGGCGGCCCAGGGCATTCACTCGACATGCAGCGAGAGTTCTTGGCAGTGATCTACGCGCCATGTCCTGCGTTCTCGGGGCAACGCTTGCCTTTCCTTGCGCCACGGTGCTGCTGGAACTGTGCCTGCGCCCGCAGCGGTCCACGGAGCGCAGCAAGCTGAGGATCCGCTCGTCGTTCCCCCCTGTGGCCCTGTTCTCTCCTCCCTCCCCGCCTTTGCCCCTGCCCGCCCCCCCCTTCCACCCCGAGCCCAGACCTTCGGGCTCAGGAGCGAGGCTCGGCAAAAGGCTACACATCTCCGCATGCGATGCGGAGAAGAGGTCGGCCAAAGTCTGAAGCCGGCCCAGTTTTCTCTGGATGGCTGCGCGTAGCCCGAGCTAGGCACTGTGCGATGGTAGGCCGGCCTGCCGTATTATGACCTTGCTTCAGCGTTGAACGTCTCAAAACTGAGAGGAGGTAGCGGAGGAGCAAAAGGAGGACGAGGAGGACGAGGAGGAGGAGAAGGAGGAGGAGGAGGAGGATGAGGAGGAGGAGGAGGAGGAGGAGGAGGAGGAGGAGGGGGAGGAAGAAGAGGGAGGAGGGGGAGGAAGAGAAGGGAGGAGGAGGATGAGGAGGAGGAGGATGAGGAGGAGGACGGGGAGGAGGAGGAGAAGGAAGAGGAGGAGGAGGAGGAGGAGGAGGAGGAGGAGGAGGAGGAGGAGGAGGAGGAAGACAGGGTGGAAGAGGAAGAGGAGGAGCAGGGAGGAGAGCGAGGTGGAGCAGGGTAATGAAGAGTAGGAGGGATGCAGAGATCAGGATTGGGAGTGGGGGGCGGGGAGACAGGACGTGGAGCAGGGGAAAGGGGAGTTGCATGAGAAAGAAAACAAAGTCGAAGAGGGAGGGGGGAGGGACGGAGGACAACCCCCCTTGTGTCGCGGAGGACATGCCCCGGCACCGGCTCGTCGATTCGAAGGCGCTCGAGAACAGCAGGCGCGCGGTAGCGAGGAGGAGGGATCGAGGAGGGTCGAGGATCGAGGACGGATCAAAGAGAGATACTCGGCGGCTTTCGAGAGCCGCAGGCGCGCGGTAGCAAGGTGGGATCGAGGAGGGTCGATGATCGAGAACAGATCAGAGTGGTCGAGGTATTTGGGTGTTTCTCGTGCTTCTTGTGCCTCCAGGAGGTTCATTGTTGCCACCGCCGGGCCCGCTTCGAGATTCTGGTCCAAAATTCGCTTATGAATAGGTGCGGGGAGTCGACTGTTGAGGGGAAGAGGAGGAAGGAGCAGGAGGAGCAGGAGGAGGAGGAATAGGAAAAGCGGGGATGAGGAGGGAGGTGGAAGCGGGGGAGGAGGCGGTGGATTAGCAGGGGAAGCAGGAGGAGGAGGAGGAGGAGGAGGAGGAGGAGGAGGAGGAGGAAGGGAAGCAGGGGGAGGAGGAGGAGGAGGAGGAGGAGGAGGAGGAGGAGGAGGAGAAGGAGGGGGAAGGCGGAGGAGGAGGAGGAGGAGGACTAGTGCAAACACAAGACACATCAATGATGTTGCAAGCAACCTTCCCTTCACACTAAGGTTTAATTGAATAGGTCCCTAGATAGGCTATATATTCAATGTGATTGCGGGAAGTACCCCGTTGGGTGACAACCGCTTCATATGCAAACATGCCAACGCACCATCCCTGGACTTCAGCGAACCGAATCAACGTTACGATTGCATCCTGAATATCTGGAATTGCGCCCACACACCATTCCTCGGACCTCAGCACCACATGAAAACGAGTGCCGCGCCCTGACAATCCGATATCGTGCCAATACACCATGTCTGGTACTTCAACCATGCGAATCCTTGAAGCAGCTCTAGTCTGTTAAGACCACTGTGCGCGGCTTTTCGGCGAGAGTCACACTTTGAAACGAACCGCCCTTCGTCGTTGGAGCGCAAAGTGTTAAACCGAGCTTGCGTGGCGCAATTCACCCGCCCTCCGTCCGTGAAGCTCTTGCAAGCTTTGATAAGGAATGCGTGCGTCGCTGAGGCGATGGCCACGTTTTGCAAACCACTTGCCCTCCGTCCCGTGGAGCTCTTGTCAACATTGAAGCCGAACGTGCGCGGCGCTGAAAACGGGAGCCGCATCTTGCAAACCACCGGCCCTCCATCCGTGAAATTGCTGCAAACACCTAGCTCTAGAATCGTAAGGGGTGGGGAAGTCGTAGGCGAAACGCCCAGCCCATCCTAACGACCCGTGTGGGGGCGCGACAGGAAGGAGTTATTGTGAAGGCCTTGCGGCCGGTGCCGCCGACGCAAATCGACGACGTCGACGACGAACACGACGATGACCAAGACGACAACGACAACGACGAGCTGACGACCCTGCCACAGCCTCGAGACATGGGGCGGGCGGTGGAGGGAGGAGGAGGAGGAAGAGGAGGGGGAGGAGGAGGGAGGAGAAGAGGAGGAGGAGGAGGAGGAGGAGGAGGAGGCGGAGGCGGAGGCGGAGGAGGAGAATGAGGAGGGGAGGGAGAAAGAAGAGGAGTAGAACGACGAGGAGGAGGAGGACCAGCGTAAACCCAAGAATCATCAACGATGTTGGAATTAACCCTCCCTCCAAGCTCCCTCTTCATAGGCCCCTACAACGGTTCATTTCCATTGAGGGAACTGCCTCGTTGGACGACAACCGTTTGAAGATTTTGACGCATGCCAAAAGCATTGTTCTCAGCGTTCCAACGTTGCGTATCAACCTGACTTCTGCGTCTTGACGATCCGGAATCGTGCCAGAGCGCCATTTTGGGAACTTCAATACCGCGAATCAACATAATTGTTGCTCCAACATAATTCTGAATCCGTCCAACACACCATTTCTGGGACGTTGATCATGGGAACCTGTGAAACTCTTGCAACTGTTTAAAACGAATGTGCGCGCCGCTGAGGCGAGAGCTACATGTTGATAAGGAACCGCCCTCAACCCGTGAATTTCTTGCACATGTTTAAGACGAGTGTGCGCGGCGTTAAGGCGATAGCCACATTTTGAACACGACCCGCCCTCAACTCGTGAAACTCGTGCACATGTTTAGAGCGAAAGTGCGCGGTGCTAAGGCGAGAGCCACATTTTGAATACGACCCGCCCGCAATCCGTGAAGCTCTTGCGCATGTTTAAAGCGAGCGAGAACGAGCTACGTGCCGTCAACCATTTCTCGAGCCGCGCCCGCGAGCCGTGCCTGCTCATATAGCGACACGCCCCCAGGGTCGTGCCGCCCCAGGCCACCCGAGGGGCACCACTCCCTCGGGCGACCGCACACCCCCACGCATGCCAGAGCGGGGCACCCTGGCCGTGGGAAGGATGGGCGTGGGTCCCCCAATGGGACCCCCGCAGGGGACCCCCTACCCGCCCGAACCCAGCCGGGGTACCTAGTGGGCCACCGCAAGGGGTGGGACAACGTATCGACGAGAGGCAATTTTTCTCCCTGGCCCCTACAGGCAAACAGAGGCGACGAACGGGCTGCAACCCGGCTGTGTTCTTGGGAAGGGCACCAAGTGGTGCAGGTGCCACCCAGTGGCACAGGTGCCGGAGGAGGAGAAGGAGGAGGAGGAGGAAAATGAGGAGGAGGAGGAAGAGGAGGAGGAGGAGGAGGAGGAGGAACATATGAGGAGGAGGAGGAGGAGGAGGAGGAGGAGGAGAAACACGGAGGATGAGGAGGAGTGAGGGGGGAGGTAGGAAGGCGGAGGAGGAGGAGGAGGAGGAGGAGGAGGAGGAGGAGGAGGAGGCGCGGGAGGAACAGGCGGAACCGTTGCCTCACGCGGGGGGGACCAGCCCCGCTCAGAAGGGGCGGGTGGTCCCGCGGGGAGGTCCACCCGCTGGGCGTGGCGCGCAGCCTTGGCGGCTCTGCTGGGTGGGGGGCCCGAGCGCGTGGCGGCCCAGCGACGTCAGCTTCCAGCCGTGTCCGCTCCCGCGAGGTCCGCGCGCTGGGGGGCTGCTGCGGGGCCCGGCGGGAGGTGCGCGCCGCGGGCGCCGCCTCGCCGCCGGAGCGGCGCCGAGGAGCCACTTCCGCGGCAGCGCGGGCCAGGGCTGCCAGCACAGCCCGGCGTCTGGATGATTTGAGAGGGTTGGAGGGAGTGCTGCGTCAGCTCTCTGGTGCAGGGGGCGCTGCGCGCTCCCGCCCGGAGCGCTCCTCAGCCAAGCGTGTGCGGCTGCATCCTGGCAGCGGGGTGGCGGCAATGAGAGTTCACTGAAGGCATTTTTGTTGTGCACCGGGATGGCGGCAATGAGAGTTCACTGAAGGCAAACAACATTGCCTTCAGAAGGGACGGGGTGCCAGCGGACCATGCGCAAAGGAGCGTCCGAGTTTGCGCCCTCCACCGCCGCCGCCGTCGACAACCTCGGGCAGCTGATGCACACCAGGTTCGCCGCAGTCAGGGCGGAGGAGGCAGAGAGCTTCAACATCATCGGCGATGCCATGCAGGCCAGCGCCTCTCCACATGTACCACCAGGCCCGCTTCACCGTCACCCTGGCGCTGTCTCTCCGAAGCTGCGCCTCATCGAGGAGGCTGCGGAACCGCCGTCCGCGGAGCTGCCGCGCGACATGCGCTGCGAGGCCAGCTCGTCGATGCTCTGGCTCCTGCGCCATCGACTACCCGGGCCGCTCTTCTTCCTCACAGGTTCCGAAGTGCGCCTCGTCGTCGGAGGACCCTGGGCACCCTCTCGGAGGCCAGCCCGCGCAGGTCTGAGGATCCCAAGAGGGGGGGGGGATTCGGCTGCAGCCCCCCGAGGGGCACTTCCACGAGAGGGGGCCCAGACCACCTCCAGGGACGTCGGCACGAGGAGACACCCTGGCACCCCCACCCTCTGCCACGGCCGCTGCCCCTCCAGCCGGAGGAGGAGGGGGGCCAGCGTCGGGCTCGGAAGCCCCGTCGTTTGCCCATGATGCCCTCCGCCGCGGGGCCCTGCTGGTGCCAGGCAGACCGCCCGCGCGGACACCAACGAGCACGACCCGGCCTTCGAGCGCGCCTTCGAGGACGCCTGGGACAGGCTCCAGCCCGACGGAAGACGCTGGAAGAGCCACATCAAGTGCGAGCAGGGGCTGAGCATGCCCGGCGTCCGGGCGGCATTATCACGATTCGGCACCACCACGACTGTCGAGATCTCCAACGGGCCGGCTGCGGTCTCACCCGCGAGAGCCGTGCCAGCTAAGAGCGCAGCGGAGCACACGGACGGCAATGACATTTGGGACCAGCATGCGGCGTCAGTCTCGCCTTCGACACGCGCGCGGACACCGCTGCGGAGGCAACTAAGGTGCCGCCCTCTGTCAGGCCCTGCCAGGCTGTCCGACATCCAGAGGCCCGCGTGCGACGCCGGTGAGAACGCCGCTGGCGCAGCGCACCGCCCGCGGGTCGTCGCCGAAGCGATCGACGCGGGGTGCGAGGAGCGGCGCCGTCGCCGCCTCGCCGCGCGGCGAGCAGCCTCGGGGCGCCCAAGCCGACCAGCGCCCGCGCGCGCGGGTCGGAAGGACGCAGCAGCCGCGGCAGTCCCCAGGCGCCCCGGCAGGAGGTCGGGCGACGGGGGCAGGCCGCCGGTGGCTCTGGCTCGGAGCGGAGCCGGCCGGCTCGTCGCGCGACGCCCGCCGAGCGGCGGCCGCCCGCGGGGCCGACGGTGAGAGCCTGGCGCCGACCAAGCGGTCGTGGGCTGCCGCGAGAGCTGATACGGATGCTGATACTGCTGATTACGATGTTGGCGGTGATGATGATGATGATGATGATGATGATGATGATGATGATGATGATGATGATGATGATGATGATGATGATGATGATGATGATGATGATGGTGATGATGATGCTGACGATGCTGACGATGCTGATGCTGACGACGATGATGACGATGGTGCTGGTTAGGAGTGTGATGGTGCGTCTGGTGATGATCGTGTTGACGATGATGTCAGTAATGCGTGATGGAAAAGGGGGGAAGGGGAAGACGTAGGAGGAGGAGGAGGAGGAGGAGGAGGAGGAGGAGGAGGAGGAGCGGAGAAGGAGGAGGAGGAGGAGGAGTAGGAGAGACCGCCACAGGCACAACCGCAACAAGGCCAACAACAACAAGGGCCCAAAGAACAACAAGAGCTCGAACAGCCCGCACGCGCACTGGGTGCAGGCGCCCTCCGGTTGGCCTCGATCCGCCGATGGCCGCGGCACGGTCAGGCGTCAGGGTGCCCCGGCGAGGCCGAGCAAGTCTCGCGAGGTGCACACGCGGTGCCCCCTCCGCGGTCTCCCCGCCCGCCTCCCGCCTCGCGCCTCCCTCCTCCCTCCCTGCTCTCTGCTGCTCCCTTCTCCCGCCGTCCTCCTCCCTCCCTCTCCTCGCTGCCACCCGCCCGCCTACCCCCGCATAGGAGGAGGAGGAGGAGGAGGAGGAGGAGGAGGAGGAGGAGGAGGAGGAGGAAAACATGTAGGGAAAGGAGGAGGAAAAGGGCGAGGAAACGGAGCAGGAGGAGGAGGAGGAGGAGGAGGAGAAGGAGGAGGAGGAGGAGGAGCCCCAGGAAATGCAGTGGGAGTGCGGCGGCGGCGGCGCCCGAGGGAAGCGCACTCTCGGGAAGGCGCGGGCGCCCCCCCAAAGGAGGAGGCGCCAGCATTGCAGGGTCTCAGCATCATGAGAGAGAACGCAGCGATCATGCTCGATGAGAGAACGCAGCGTCCGCCTCGATGAGAGAACGCAGCACGGCAAGTCTCCTGCTCGTGCCGGGCCTGGCTTCGACCCCCCACCGCTGAATCATTGCCGCGAAATCCTCGCGTTGCGAGGGGTGTGAATGGGTCTCACGTTCAGTTTCAAAGCCCGCTGGAGTCACTGGAGGCACTGTGCAGATCCGTGGGTGCGCTCTCGGTTCTAGCATCAGTGCGCTTCCTCTGAATGCTGGAACGCTGGTTGCTCGCTCGATGTGCAAGGCCGTCTCAGACCACTTCCAAGTGATACGCCTTGCTAAGCAATGTGGCAAGGTCCTCGCAAGTGCGGAGGGACCCGTCCGCAACTCCCCAGGGTTGCCGGCCCAGGTCGTGGTGGCCGTTCCGCATCGATCAGCTGTCGGGGACTGCTGCCCCATTTCCTCCACCCGCTCCTCAGAGTCCTCCTCGCCGTTGTCGTCTTTTTTCTTGTGCATGTTCACCAGCGACAGAGCAATGCACAACCGCTGACCTGACCCGATAAGGTCTTCAGCATCGCAAGGGCAGACTCAACGGACGCGCGGACTAGGGAGAACCAACATAAGAGGGGGTGTGGGCTTGGACGCGGATGATGAACGGTGGAGGAGGGCGGGGGAGGAACAGGGGGGAAGGTGGGAAGGAATAGGGGGAAGGGACAAGCCA